TAATGTAAGAATCCATTTGCCAAAAAAAAAAAAAATGAACAAAATCAACCTAATCAAGATTTGTTAAAGTGAAAAGAAGCACTATAGATGTCTACCTACTAGTACATAGGAATTCAATCATGTACAAATGTATAATACCAAATAATTAATATTTATATGGCATGGCAGACAACTAAGAAAACCTTACAAAAAAAAAACCCCCAAAACAAAAGCCCTTAAAATGTATGCAATCCCTAAATTCTAGCATACTCCTATATTTATTTAGGACCGTGCTATAGGTACATGAATTTGAATTCCTGTACCAGACAGAATACACACAGTAGTGGGTGGGGTGGGGGGTTTTTGACAATATTTTAATTACATTGGGTCCACCCCCATGTGAGTGAAATTTAAAATTCTGTACCAATTCTGTGCATTATTCCATGTACTCACGTCATTATTCATTTATTTATTTATTGTTGTGTTCTAGCTTGCTTCACCTTTGTTTGAGCTCAACTTTCCTAAAACTCATTTTTTTTTTAAAAAAAAAATTAATTTTCAGTCATACACATTCTACCATAAAATAATTTTATACGTAAATCCAATTTCATATTTTTTAACAATATATTCTTCAAAAAATCACCATTACAAAACTCATTTCCCAAAAAAAAAAAAATGCGGCTCAAACGGGGCATTCATAATCGTTGTATATAGATTATTAATTTGAATATGTTGTTATTCAAGGCTCAAAAGCATAGCAAGCGATGATATTATCAGTGGCATGGTTCTTGTAACATACTTGGACGAGATAGTTTAATACATATAATAAGTACTATTAAAGTAGATAAATACTGTATTTGAAATCTATCCCCTATAATTATAAGAATTCAAGAGGTTTAGTCTTGATAAAAATATGAATTTGATTTGTATATCATGATATTTTTGTAAATAAATCTTCAAGATGTATAGTTTAAAAATGGTTTAAAAAATATTTTGTTACTTTATTTCAGAGAAGTTTCAATTGTTTTTGTTGTAAAACAAACAAGATATTATTAAGATGTTGAAATTATATGGCAAATAATAATGAAATATATGATCAAGTAAAAAAATAATAAAGACAAGAATATGACCGATGAATTAAGAGATTTTATTGACTCAAAAATAATGGAAAAAAGAGAAAAATTACAGTAGATCATATAATTCTAGTAATCTATTTTCTCACACCATAAAATTGTATAGAAGAGCCTAATATTTATAGGAAACATGTAGGAGATGTCCAAACTTTCCTAGTGGGGATGTTGATGAAGTATGATACCAAAAAATCGAATTCAAAATAAATTACAACTCCTAATGGGCTTCCAAAATAAAACTTCAACTTAATATATGACTCCAATAACATTCCAAACTGAATTCTTCTTGATGTGCACTTCAATTAGAATTCTTTAATTACTTCAACAAGCAAATTCGGGTCACACCCAAATTCCAACAATCTCCATATTGACACGAATTCCAAAATTAGAATTCTTTAATTACTTCAACAAGGATTCGGGTCACACCCAAATTTTAACAATTTCCACCTTGACATGAATTCCACCAAGGAATGAACTATCTTCTTTAACAATAATCAAAAAATTAATTTCTCCAACAAAACACAATACTCCACATCTTTCAATGAATCCAAGCACTACCCTACAGAATTATCTCAAATCCCAAAAAATCATAATGATTTTAAATTAATCAAAATGGGCTATAACATACTCCAAAATAGAATCAAACTCAAATGCTTTTAAAGAAAGCCCCTTGCTAGATTGTATATCTTCTACTCCACTTAAAGCATGCTCAACAAAATCAACATCCACATACCTTTTTTCCTTGGGTCAGTCCATAGCAATTGAATACAATAGCACTGCAGGTGATGGCAGTAAAGTGGCATTATCCATATCTCATTTAACTCTTTATGAGCTCCTAAATGTATTGTACTAAACTGAATGTCTACCACGGTCTTGAACTTGTGATGATCTACTCTTCTAAATTTTGCACGACTCTGCAAGATGTATAATTGAGATATTTTGTCCCTCCAATACAACTTGGGCACCCTTACAAACCTTCAAAGCTCCACCTCCACCTCCATCTTCACATCCACCAAAGAACTCATAACCTTTTGAATTAAGGATAAACAATGAGATAAGATTCTTCTTCAAATCTAGAACATGTCAAACCTAGTCAAATGTTCTAATTTTCCCATCCAAAAGTTTCAATCTGACTGTACCAATTTCAGCATCCCGACAAGATGCGCTGTTTTCCATAACGACGACACCTTTAGAAACAGTTTCATATGTAGTAAACAATTCCTTATTAGGACACATATGAAACACACATGCTGAATCAAGAATCCAATGATCTTCTGGTTTAGACTCAATGTCAGAAATAGCTAAGAGATCTCCATCACTTACAACATTCTCCGCGATTTCTGCTTCGCATGAAGTATCTGAATATCTACTTGCAGTCATCCTTTCTTTATTCTGCAATTTGTAGCAATCATTTTTCAAGTGCCCCTTCTTCTTGTAGTAGTTACAAATTTGATTACTGAATTTAGATTTCAATTTGCCCCATTCCAGAACCACCATGAGCAACCAGGCCTTCTCAATCTCTAGCCTCAAAAACTAGATACTTCATCTTTTCTTTTGAATACAAAGTATCATACACCTTCTCTATGGTGAGAGTATCACGACTATACAAGATCGTGTCTCTAAAAGAAGAAAACGAAGCGGGCAACGAACACAATAGAATCAAGGTCAAATCTTTTTCATCATACTCTACTTCCAAAGTTTTCAAATCAGTGACAATCTCCTCAAATACAGCTATGTGATCTTCCAATGATCCTCATTCTGTCATTCGATGAGAGTATAAACACTACTTGATGTTCAACTTGCTTGTTAGACTTTTAGTCATGCACAATTGTTTCAACCTCAACCATAAAGCAGTTGCTGAATTCTCCTTCAAAACGTCCTGAATAATAGTATTTGATAGATGAAGATGAATGTGAGAAATTGCATTCTTATCCTTCCGTAATTTCCCCTCCGCGATCAAAGTTGCAGGCATCCTATCAATTCCCAGCAACGCATCATCCAAGTCCAGCTGTACGAGTACTACACGGATCTTAACCTGCCGTAGCGAAAATTTAGTATTCCGATCCAAAAGTGAAATGTCATACTTCATGGAAGCTATCACGAACAAAAAACTTCGAAAAAATCAACCTTGCGCTCTTGCAAAACTGCTGAACCTAGGTGCTCTGATACCAATGGTTGTAAAAACAAATACAAGATATAAGAATTGCTCTAATACCAATTGTTGTGAAACAAACCACCGATTAAGATGTTGAAGTTATATGACAAATAATAATGAAAAATATGATCAAGTAAAAGAATAATAAAGACAAGAATATAGCAGATGAATTAAGAGATTTTATTGACTCAAGAATAATGAAGAAGTGAGAAAAATTACAATAGATCGTATAATTCTAGTAATCTATTTTCTCATACTATAAAATTGTATAGAAGAACCTAATATTTATAGGAAACATGTAGGGGATATCCAAACCCTCCTAGTAGAGTTGTTAATGAAGTAAGATACCAAAAAATCGAGTTCAAACCAAATTACAACTCCTAATGGGTTTTCAAAATAAAACTCCAATTTGATATAGTACTCCAAAAACATTTCAAACTGAATTCTTTTTTATATGCTCAATTAGAATTCTTTAATTACTTCATTCAACCTACTTAACTCTAATACAAATTACAACTCCCAATGGGCTTCCAAAATAGAACTTCCACTTGACATAGGACTCCAATAGCATTCCAAATTGAATTCTTCTTGACGTGCACTTCAATTAGAATTCTTTAATTACTTCAACAAAGAATTCAGGTCACACCCAAATTCTAACAGTTTTCATCAAACATTTCTTGGTCCTAAATTCGTTGCTTAATTTTCATTTTTGTTCCATTTAAAGGCAAACCTGTTTGTAGATATTAACTATATATCAGAAAATTCAACAAGTCCAAATATGATGATTTTAATTTGAAATTGCATTTCTTATTTCATTTAAGGCGCTCCATCTATCTTCTTCTTCACAAGTACTTGAAAATCTAGCGCGTCGTCTAAAATAAAGAATGATGTGGACTAGAAAAATCAAGCACATTGATTTTTGGATTAACCTCCTTTGCCAGAAATGAGTTGCCCACCTGAGTGACCGACCCTCACATGAGGGTGGGTCCGACGTGGGACCCGCGTGGAATAAAAAATGGAAAAAAAATGCCCTCCTCCCCCTTATTGGGTGTGTCCTGTCAGGGAAGGTGTTACACCCTCCCTGGCACTGAAGCACGGTTCTTGATTGTATGATCAAACTCATTTATTGTTGTAAAACCTGTGCATTCCGAATGTGATTTTTAAACCAAATTCGTTTTTTTCATCTACTATGACATCCTGTCTATCATGTAGCCAAAGCAAAACAGGGTCAAAATGAACAAGTTTTTTGAATCGCATGCATTCGCGTTCACCGTGTCTTTAGTGAAACCTCGTATAAAATCAGTTACTATCAATATTTTTAATCTATACTAATAACCACTAGTTATTATGGATCTACACCAAGATCCCAACTCCTGGTCAAGCCCAGGAGAATACAAAATGAACTATGTGGAAGAACAAAGCTATCACAATTCACAAGAAGAAAAAGAGAGATAGGATGCGAATACGATTTAAAGGAAGAGATACTCTAAAGGAGATTAGTATAAATAAATTATCAAGACTAGAGTAAAAATTCTTTAAGAGAAAAAGGTGGGATCCCATTGAAGAGAATAGGCCTATGCCAACTGCACTTTAATTCATACATGAGAGATCCTTTGTTTCTCCTTTTTTGCTTATATATATACGTGAGTGTCCACTTCACTTTGGCAAGTCAAGTTAAAGCATTTCTTTAATTCTCTCTTTTTCTCAGCTTGAAATCGTTTTAGTTCAATTTGGCCATGTCCCTCCACTCCACCCCACCGGAATCACTCCATTCCATCGCACCAGAAAACCAAGGCTTGAAAGTGACGACGATGCTGCAGAATAGGCCCGAGCCACTTCATTCTGTGGCACCTGATCCAGAAAATGGTGGCAGGGAACTGATGACAGGTATGTCGAATACGCTGGAGGCCAGTGACACTGCCTATCAGCTGGGTTACCCCGTTGGGCCTCTACAGAACAATTCACAGTCCTTTTTGCAAAGATCATTATACCATATAACTTTGAAGGTCTCTCCCTCTCTCTCTCTAAATATGTCTGTTCCATCTCTATGCTTTTAGACAAGGGGGTAAAATAAGCCCAATTGTGAAAATTGTACACATTTATAGCTTCGATAAAAAATGAATAGACTATGTATTTGTATTTTGTAGACAATTTAAATAAATAAGTTTAATCTCTCAAATTTTTATAGTAAATGAGGTGGTTCAACAAAATATAACGAGTACCTCCACTAGCCCACTTACATGCACAAAAATAAGATGCTTGGAAGAGTTTTATTAGAAAGAATTTACATGCATTTACCGCTATAAATTGTATGTTTGTTGCATTCGCGCTGAAGTTTTCTTTATATTTTCCAGTTTGAAGAGATTGTTTACAAGGTAAATTGTGAAAGAAAAAAAAGTTTTTGTGGAGGAACATTGAGCAATACTAGAGAAAAAACAATCCTCAATGGGGTGACAGGGATGGTCTGTCCAGGCGAGATTCTGGCAATGTTAGGTCCATCAGGCAGTGGAAAAACCACCCTACTTACGGCTCTTGGAGGCCGACTTTCTGGCCGGTTATCGGGGAAGATTACATACAACTTCCAGCCATTTTCGGGTGCCATCAAACGCAAAACAGGATTTGTTCCACAGGATGATGTTCTCTATCCACATCTCACTGTATTTGAAACTCTACTATTTACTGCACTATTAAGGCTGCCCAATAGCCTCGCTAGAGAAGAGAAATTACAGCATGTGGAGCATGTAATAGCAGAGCTTGGATTGAGTAGCTGCCGCGATAGCATGGTTGGAGGGCCATTGTTTAGAGGGATATCAGGTGGGGAGAAAAAAAGGGTGAGTATAGGTCAAGAAATGCTGATAAATCCAAGTCTATTGTTGCTAGATGAGCCTACTTCAGGGCTTGATTCCACCACTGCGAAACGGATCATGAACACGATCAAGCGGCTCGCTAGTGGTGGCCGAACGGTGGTTACCACCATCCATCAACCTTCTGGGCGGCTCTACCAAATGTTTGACAAGGTAGTCTTGCTTTCTGAAGGCTGCCCAATATACTATGGCCCAGCATCAACTGCCATGGACTACTTCTCTTCAATTGGGTTTTCAACATCCATTGTGAATCCTGCTGAACTTTTGCTCGATCTCGCCAATGGTACGTAGACGTCTAGAAATGTTACGAAGTTAGTTTTTTTATATTTTTTCTTCAAAGCACACTTTCAGATGTGACAAGTGCAATATTTTCATAAAAGGTAGATGTGACAAGTGCAAAATTTTCATAAAACGGTAGCTTGAGACGAACTGAAGAACTCTTTCCTAATTACATTTTCTAAGGTAATCAATTGACAAAATTCAAGTATAAATTAGGAAAAACCATAGAAATGAGGCTTACAACTCAGTGAATTTATCACCTCATGCCTCATTCCTTCAGTCAAATGAGTGTGATGTTTGGCAGTTCTGCTTTTTTCGACTTGAAATTATCTGACTATCCTATCTTTGTTGGACTCATTTCAGGAATCAGACCTGATTTGGAGCATGGTGACAATACACAACAAGATCCAAAATCCGTGAGAGAATTTCTCATCTCTGCTTACGATAAGAACATTTCTACAAGGTTGAAAATTGAATTGTGCATTTCGGATGTAAATAGCTACACTTACACAAAGGATGCCTCCACTAGTTAGTATCTTCTTCTCTCTTATATTCAAGCAACTTTTCCATATTTCTTCACAAATTTCTCTCACTTCTTTTGTGCTAATTAGGCATTCGATTCGAATGATGCAGGAAATGATGTGAAGTTAGAGCAGTGGAGCACAACTTGGTGGCACCAATTCAAAGTGCTGGTTCTTCGGGGACTGCGGGAGCGAAGATTTGAAGCCTTCAACAAGTTAAGAACCTTCCAAGTCATTAGCGTGGCGATACTTGGTGGGCTTCTTTGGTGGCACACTCCGTCATCTCACATTGATGACCGTGTAAGTATATCCCATGCTCAGATTGAACCACTATCAGTTAAAAAGTTTAATCGTCTACTTACCCCTTTTCTCAACAAAACATTTACGGCTTTTATATAAGGGTGGCTGCGGGACTTGATCATAGGACTTTTGCATGATTTGATACCATATTAAACTGTTTCATCTTAAGTTCTCTAATTTCATAGCAAACAAAGTAACAACAATACATAGAGAGTGTTGGAACTGCATTTAGAGGCAGTAGTGATGAAAATAATCTACAAAAAGCAAGGGTTCAAATTTCGTATCTGTTGAGTTACTCTCCTCGCTAATGCTCAACGATTGTCCTCGGCAAATTTTTATTTAGGATTTACGATTCTATCATATAAGTCTTTTTCATTCTGTCGAAAATTGATTTTACAATATAGACGCCTATGACATCCTCCTCTATGCCTTGCTGTAACGATTCATACCTCTACCACAATAATTAACAAATAGAATCGGTCAAAAAAAGTTGGTAATTATAAAATAATAATTCAACTTTATAGAGAGGATGGACCGCTGTTGGTGGACATCCATCAGAAAGAAGAAAAATAACTATTGTTACTTTTGAAATTTTTCCTTAGTATTATGTATCCTAATGTTGCAAATAAGTCTATTTTCATCAAAACTACAAACTGCTAAATGCAATTCTTATAAATATGCTAACTGCCAAAGACAAATTCTAAATGATGTACACATATTGCCTCATCTAACAGTTCATGTTTTAAGACTAACCAAGTGGTTCTACACTAAACTAGTTACTTCTCGTATCTGCAGCTTGCAATGCTGTTCTTCTTCTCAGTATTTTGGGGCTTCTACCCACTGTACAACGCCGTATTCACTTTCCCTCAGGAAAGAAGAATGCTGATCAAGGAACGTTCATCCGGCATGTACCGTTTATCCTCCTATTTCCTTGCAAGAACAATAGGAGATCTCCCTCTCGAACTAGCACTCCCAACAGCATTTACATTCATCTTCTATTGGATGGGCGGCCTAAAACCCGAACCCCTCATCTTTACCCTCTCCCTCCTCATTGTTCTCCTTAGTGTCCTCGTAGCCCAGGGCCTCGGCCTGGCATTTGGGGCAATACTCATGGATGTAAAACAAGCTGCAACTTTAGCCTCAGTTACAACCTTGGTTTTCCTCATCGCTGGAGGATACTATGTTCGCCAAATTCCAGCATTCATCGTCTGGTTAAAGTACCTAAGTTATAGTTATTACTGTTACAAGCTTCTTCTTGGGGTTCAGTACACGGAGGAGGACTTTTATGAGTGTGCAAAGGGAGTTTATTGCCGTGTTGCTGATTTTCCTGCTGTTAAATCAATTGGTTTAAGGCATTTGTGGTGGGATTTGTTAGTCATGGGAATAATGTTGGTGGGATATCGTTTTCTTGCATATTTAGCTTTGCGCCGGGTGCAGTAAATCTTGGCTCGATAATCCGTCATTAGGTCATTTTTCAACGCTGTTGTCGCACATGGTTAGTGGGAGATAACGTAGTGGGTTCAAAGAGTTTTACCTTTTTCTTTTTTTTTTTTCGAATGACGAATAATGTTAGATTAAGGAACATACATAACCATTTCCATGTTTTGATCATCATATCCTATGAACGTTTGATATTTGCTGTTTTCTGGTAGTGGTTCATATAAATTGTATAACAAAAATGGACTAAAATTTTCTGGTAGTGAATTAGATATTGATCATTCTAAGAATCAGGGATGGACCCAAACCATTTATCTCGTGGGCTCAAAACTGAAAATTCAAAAATATTTAGAACTACATATCATAAACGAAAATAAGTCAATACGCTATTACAATTGTAGTCATACTTTGAAAACGTCGTATAATTACATCATTATCAATATTGTTAAGTACATCGTTTTCAATATATGCAACCAAACTATCACTTAACCATTGATCTCCCATCTGACTACGCAATCGATTATTGACAATCTTCATTGCAGAAAATATTCTCTCTACAGTAGTAGCAACTGAAAGAATTAACGCCAATGTTACAAACCGTTAAACTAATGGATACACTTCATTTTTTTTTCATTTCAACCAACTTTTCCGCAAGATGATTAAGACCTCGTAAGCCTTGAAAATCTTCGGTTGTGAGCATATCAATAATATATGTCTGAATTTGCTCTTCAAGAGCCAAGATCTCTACTAATTTAATCCAGAACATGAACATTATAACTCACAATTGGAGTTCTTAATCCAGGATCCGAAGGCAGTTGTGCTAAATCAATTTTATCCTGAACATCTTTTTTTCTCCCATTATCTGATTCTTCCCAACCATCTTTTTCTTTTTGAACACTCGTTTCAACAATAATTTCCTCCACACTCGAACATACGGATTTTCGTTTAAAATATTTCTCCATGGCTGTTAAAAAACAAATTCAATACATAAATAAACAAATAAATACCATATTTCATTTTTCATCAAAAAATAACATTAAATTCAAAATAAACAACAATTACAGTCACAAACAATTCTATTTTAAATCACCAAGTTAGACAAACTGACAAAGCCATTTTTTACTGAAACTGATGTACTTTACTACTTCACTACAATATTTCCAATTTCTCAAATCCAAACTAGTGAACTATCAACTACCAAATTCCAAATACATTTTAGAACTTAGAAGAATCAGTAACTAGTATGCACGAATTAGCTTCAATTCAATTGAAAATCCAATACCTAAATTAATTGAAAAATGGATTGAAGACGAGAGACAAATTCACCGTGCGTAGGTAGCGTGCGTATGGGAAAATTAGGGATTTCAGATTTTTGAATGGGGGGATATCAAAGTCACTGCCTTATGAGTCCTAGTATATTAGTTGGGTTGCGTCAATCAATGAATTATGGATTAATGGGTTGGTGTAGAGTGTAATTGGACTTTGGCTTCTGAGTTGTGGATTGGGTTGCTCTTGAGTAAGTGGTAAGTGTTAGGTAAAAAAAATAATTGTGGGGTCATTTGACCCCACATGACCCCATGTAAGTCCGCCCCTGCTAAGAATATCTTTAGAAATGCTATATATAAGTTTTAAAGTGACGACCTTTGACAAAGATTTTAACTGTCGAATGAAAATGTGATTTTTTTTAGAACCAGATATTATGCATTAAATCACTTCGATTCTTATCACATGCGAATAAAATGAAGCCATATTGTGAGCTGCTTTATTCCCCTCACGAAGAAGCGACACATATCGTAATTTACATCTGCCAAAGGAGCACAATTAAAATGAGATACGTGAGCTGTGATAAGCATAAGTGTTGGGTTTTGATACCCAATGAATTCCGAGCTATGATGTAAACGTTGGATTTGATTTCATAAGCATTGGCCGATGAATAAAATTGTTACCAACAACCAAGTTCAAAAGCTCAAAGTTATTCGATAACTTTGAATTTTGGCTCATTTAACCCTATTATTGGTCTAACTAAAACTTAACCTACTCCTATTTATTGGTTGCCTTTACCCTAGTCATTAGTGTACAATTTGTGTATGCAAATGAGAGAAAATGTGGCTGCCTTCTTGTTGGAAAAAGGTTGCCTTTGTGGAGAAAAAAATCGATGACTTTTTTTTGTGTATTTGGCCTCCTTTCTGTGTCTTCTTCCATTGTATTTCTCGTGCCTTTGTAGCTTGCAAATTATCACCATTATCTTGTCATTTGTGGGTGAGATTGAGAAGCAACTAAGGTAAATATTGGTTATGGGTTGGAGCCGTTTGAATTGGTTGATTGGTAGAGAAATGTAACATGAAATTGAGCTCGGAAAACACTTTTTAAAGATCTATGGAGCGAGCTTCTACGACAATTGGTATCAGAGCTTCAAGGTGGTGGATTTGGCTCCAAAATTTGACCAGAAACCAATCTGAAAACATGCAGAAACAAAGATGTGAATTAGGAAGGATTGGTGGACGAAATATGAACCTTGATATACCCCTCCCAGAGGTGTGGTGGACCCTGTGGTTGTGACATTGTGGTGCTGGTCAGTGTTTTCCCTTGTGCATTTGGGTTCATTTTTTGTTTAATTGGTTGTTGTAGTTGTTGGAGACTTTAAGGTGAATAGTGGTGACCCTAAAGTGATAAATTCGCATCCATAGTTCTTTACGAACTCCAATTGGTCCGCTCTAGTATATTGGCTTATCCCAATTTAAATTTCAGCATTAGCGCATCATCGTGTGGGTGGCATAGGATTGTGGTTACGATGTGGGGGTAACCATTGTTTGTACCAGAAATTTAGGAATTATTTGTCATATTTGAAGTGTTGAATTTGATTGCAATTTGGTAATTGCTTTTGTACTATAATTGTCGTTTAGTCATTTTGCGAGACTGCATTTTTTGTTGACATACCTTCATGTTACACTGATTATTCTATTAGAACACCTAGACTTGACCCATTTGAACATTCCCTTGATACAAAGATTTCGAGTCGCACGAAACCCTATGAATCTAGAACGGTGTATACTGCGTCCTTAGGATTACTTTGTGTGACCCATTTGTGCACCTTAATTGTTCTGTTTTCCAAGATGCCTTTACATTTCGAAATTTGAATTTTCAATGGAAAATAAGATTTTTCAATTTGGTAACAAATGATGAAGAGTATTTTGGTTCAACAAAAATTTTCAAAAGCCATAAATGGCCAAATTTCTTCAAATTTGACAAAGTATAAAAAGAAGAATATGATTAACTTGCTTAAACTTAAATTATTTTACACCTATCTCACATTATTTTGAGAAAAGTTGGTAAACTTGATACCATGAAAGAACTTTGAAAAAAGTTGGAAGATTTATATTTGCTTAAATTTACTTCTAATAAATTGTATTTACTTGAAAGATTTTTCAATTTTAAAATGGATCTTTCAAAGGATCTTGATGATAATCTGAATAGTGTTAACAAACTTGTTCAAAATATCGTTAATTGTGATGAGAATGTGTACGACACTTATAAGATCATTATTTTGTTTAATTATATGCATCATTCATATAGAGAGAGTAAGAATGCGATTAAGTATGATGGGAACACCTTAACACCTGAGATTGTCATGAATTTTCTTAGAAGTAAAGAGATAGAGATTAAGATTGAAAAATAGGATAAGATGAGTGGTGAGTTACATATGATGCGGAGTAGAATGAAGTTTAAGCAGAAGAATTTGGGTAGAGCTCAAGACAATAGTGATTCGAATAGTGACTCGAGTAATAAGGGAGGTAAGAAGAAGGGCAAGGGATGTGACAAGTCCAATGGTAAGCGGTGTTACAGTTGTAATAAGTTTGGACACGTTGTGTGGAATTGTCCTAAGAAGAAAGATAAGCAGAAATGTAAGATGAGAGATGAGGCGAATATAGCTATAGGGTCAATTGATGACCGTAGTAAGGTTTATTGAGAGTAAACATAATTACTGCATGTGCATCTATGTGTAATCATTTTTGCATGTGTACGATTGCTTAATTCTATTGCACAGTTATATGTTGCATTTCAATGTGTTTGATATGTACATTTGCATGAATTGATAGTAATATGATTACTTGGTGTAATTATTTTGCATGCATAGTGGGTTGTGATGCATTAGTAGTGTGTTGTATGTCTATTGATTATGTGGAGTATAGATGCCTAGGGGTACATTGGTGGTTTGTATCAGGAATGTAGAATGTGACATTTGGGTCACGAGTGGAAAAGTGATTAAATGTTGGAATCCTTTATCTGTGAAGAATCTAATCAGGTGTATGAGAGAGGCACTTCTATAACTTCTATTAGATGGAGACTCATTATTCACTTAGGTTGGGAGAATGTGGTGATAGAGGATTATCTCGAAGACTTAGAATCTAAAGAGGTTTACCAATTAGACATGAGTTGAATGATCAGTCTAGGAGCATGCGGTGCGATGAGAGGAGATATGTGTTCTTGAGAGGTGAGCAACATGGAATGAAATAGGATAAGTGATGTGAGATCTTTTGGTGGGGTCATTTATGCATGTGTTTTGATAGTTTGTTGATTAACTTTGTTTTAATATGTTGTTCTGTGTGAAAGTATCTTTTGAAAAGATTTGTGGGTTATCATATGTTATATCTTCATCGCATGAGTATTTGCTCTTGATTGTTTACCATTATTATCTGTTTATACTTAGGTGTCATTTGACCTTAGCCCTGGTGAGTACATGGAGTATGTATGGTATGTGTTTCAGGTCCAAAACACAAGGTATTTTATTGGTTGCCTTAATTATGCATGCATTAACTTTGTGTTTTGATTGCTTGCAGATCGATTGGGTATCAAATTAGAGATTTTTTGGGTTTTGATACTTAATAAATTTCGGGTTATGATGTAAACGTTGGATTGGATTTCATGGGCATTGGCGATGAGTGAAATTGTTATCAACAACTAAGTCCAAAGGCTCAACTCGAAAATAATATGAAATGTTGAAA